GTTGTTCTGGAGCGATTTAGGAAGCTGCTTGGGCCGCCAAGGCGAGAACGCTAAAAGATTACCAAACCTTAGGGAAATCAATGATTTCGGCCTCTGGAGGCGCAGTTGTGGGCGCTCTTGGGGCCCTCTTGGGCTGTCATTGGGGCTTTTTTGGCCCTCTTGGGGCCATCTTGGACCGTCTCGGGGCCGTCTTGGCCCGCACAGAGCCCATCTTGAGCCGTCTTGGCGCCCTCTTGGCCCCCCAAGAGGCCCAAGAGGTCGAAATCATAGATTTTCTATAGGTGTTGGTAGGTTTTTGAGCCCCGGGAGGGGGGGGGGGGCACTTTGGCCCGCTCATGTGGCGCAGCTCCAGGGGGGGGTTAGGGGGAGACATAATAATGTAACACAACACAAAATGCGGCAATTATGCAATCATTGGATACATTGGACACGTTGCATTAAGGCATTCGCCGAAAAACGCTGCCGCTCAGCACGTCACCTCCGGACGTGGATTCCTTTCGCTTCACGGGGTGCACGTCCGGAGAGCGTTCAGTCACGTCGTCGCGGAGCCTCTTGGGAGCCTCTTGGGGGCCTCTTGGAGGCCTCCTGGGAGTTTCCTTGGGCCTCTTGGGGGCTTCTTTCGGGCCTCTCCCCCCTCCCTCCTTTTCATACTCCCTTCTTTGGGGACTCGGTGCGGCGTGCTCGAGCTGAAGATGGCACAGATCGTACCCCTCATCGGGACAACCATCGAAGCAACCATCGGCAAGACGATCGGCAGGCCGACAATCCGGACATCTATCGGCGAGGCGACCATCGAGACAACCATCGAGATAATCATCTGGACAATCATCGTGACAAGTATCGTGATGCCTATCATGACGACCAGCGGGGTAACCATAAGGGCGACCTTCGGGGCAACCGTCACGACAACCATCGGGACAACAATCGGGCCAACCATCAGGGCAACCAGCGGGACAACCATGGGGACAGCCACATTCATCAGATAAACGTTGGGGCAACCATCGGGACAATCGTAGGGCCAACCATCGGGACAACCGTCGGAACAAGCGCTGGGACGAGCACCTCCATCAGGGAGGAGGAGGAGGAGGAGAAGGAGGAGGAGGAGGAGGAGGAGGAGAAGGAGGAGGAGCAGAAGGAGGAGGAGGAGGAGGAGGAGGGGGAGCGTTGGGACGACCGTCGGGACGACCCTCGGGACGACCCTCAGGACGACCCTCGGGACAGCAGGGGGCCGCGGCCCGAGCCCCAGGAGGCGCAGCGCTTTGGCCGGGCATGGCCCCTCCGGGGGCAGGAGCTCGCGCCGCGTCGCCTCGCCTCGCCCGCGCGCACGCCACGCACGAAGCGAAGCGATCGACCCGTTGAGGCACCCGACGCTCCACCGCGGCCTCGCCCCCCAGAATCGGCACCTCGGCATCGCTCGGGCGTGTGCGCCTTGGCGCGGCGAGGGCCGTCGAGGAGCGTCCTTCACCGAGCGCGTTCCACTGCCCGCAGAGTGCCTGCTCGCAAGCGTCCGAAAAAACACACGTCTGCTCTGATGTAATTTATCGTAGATCCCCCGCGGGGAATCCAGGCCATTTGCGAGTAACCGCATACCTCGGAGAATAAACCCCCAGGGATAGTAAAGTTCGGGGTTTTCGGGGAGATAATAAAAGTTGCCCGCCAGAGCCAGCATAAAGAGATATCAAGAGGAAAAAGCCAAAGATATCTTGAGGATTGTCCCGGTTGAGACATCCTCAACGAATTGCTGTTTCGCTTGAGACATCCTCGAAATATTTGTCTGTTTTGCTTGAGAGCAGGAGGAGGCGGGGGAGAGAGGAGAGGAGAAGGAGGAAGCGAAAATCCAAAGTTCAAAACGTATTAGATTTGATGTGTAAACGCTTAATGGAAATTTAAATTTTCATCTGCTCGTGTAGGGGAGCTCATGTGCTTAGTTTTCCCAGGATAATCAACCCCAGCGATAAACAAGTTCAGGGCGCCAGGGGGAGGAGGAGAAAGAAAGAAAGAGAGAGGGAGAGAGAGAGAGAGAGAAAGAGAGAGAGAGAGAGAGGGAGACACAGAGAGACACAGGGAAAGAGAGAGAGAGAGAGGCGAGAAGAAGGATCAATAAAAAGAGATATAGAGAGCGAAACAAAAGAAAAGCAGGAGGAGGAGGCGGGGGAGAGAGGAGAGGAGAAGGAGGAAACGAACATCCAAAGTTCAAAGCTTATTAGATTTAATTTGCAAACGCTTGATGGACATTCAAATGTGCATCTGCTCGTGTAGGGTAGCTCACGTGCCTCGTTTTCCCAGGATAATCAACCACAGCGATAAACAAGTTCAGGGCGCCAGGAGGGGAGGAGGAGAAAGAGATAGAGAAAGAGATAGAGATAGATAGATAAGGAGAGAACATACATCCTTGAACTATTGATCGTTTGGTTTTAGGCTGCCTCCCAAAATTATTGGTTTCGCTTGAGACGTCCTGAAAAAAAACGTGTTCGCTTCGCTTGATATTATTATCTCAACATAAGAAGGAAGTAACCTCGATGGCGAACTTTCCCCGTGATAATGAAGTTCGGCCTCCGCGCCCTCTGCCTCTATTTGAAACCCGTCTAGGCCGACGATAAAAAAACTCAAACTACTTAAGGGGTGGTACTTTATTATCCTGGGTATGGGGTTAGCCACTTTGCGAGTAGTGGAAAGCGCTCGTCTACTACTGGATCATCGAGCCCCCCCCAAAAAAAAAAAACACGCGCGAAAACGACAAGGTGCACGGGGAAGGGGCGTCCGAGCGATGGCCAGACATCGCCCCTGGCCAGGCCCGTGCCGGGCCCAGGATCGGGGGAGGGGGAGGAGGAGGAAGGAGAGGAGAGGAGGAGGAGGAGGAGGAGGAGGAGGAGGAGGAGGAGGAGCTGAGGAGAGGGATGGCTGAGGAGAGGAGGAGAGAGAGGGAGGAGGAGGAGGAGGAGGAGGAAGGAGGAGGAGGAGGAGGAGGAGGAGGAGGAGGAGAGGAGGAGGAGGAGGGGGAGGAGGGGAGGAACAAGAGTAGCGCTCAAGCATCCGTCAGCATGGCCGCCGATGTCAGGCTCCGGGCAGGATCCCGGCCAGGACTCCGAGGTGCCGAGGCGGCCACCAGGACGCTCGCAAGGGCAAGGCAGTGGAGCGCAGCGCTGCAGTCTCTCCGCGAAGCGTCCCGGCACGGCGTGAAGGCCAGCCTGGGCCTCTACACCGTCATCGTCGGCGCATGCGCCAAATGTCAGCAGTGGCAGTGGGCGCTGTCGCTGCGCCGCGAGCTGTCCGCGGCGAGCGTGGAGGCCGACGCCGTCGCCTACAACGCCGGCATCAGCGCCTGCGAGAAGGGCAGGCAGTGGCAGCGGGCCCTGTCGCTTCTCAGCGAGATGCGGGAGGCGAAGCTGGAGCCCACCATCGTCTGCACTACACTTGTTGACGCTTCGCGTATTCTTTTCAAGTCGGGCCTGTCCCTCTACAGGGGGAAGATTCAAAAATTGTACAACAATAGTCTGGGGACGATGTTTTGACTATTTGGGGGCATTTTTGGAGTATGTTTCTGGTACTTTTCATTTGTCGTTCAAAATCTGCTTGTAGGGGGACATGCCCGACCTAAGCGTATCCCCATCAGGCCAGGTGATGCCCAGGGGAGTTGAGGTGATCAGGGAAGCGGGGGGAGCATGCAGAAGAACAAAGGGCGGGGGAAGCCGTCCGAGGCCCCAAGATGGGGGAGGATGGTGGAGCAGAAGGAGGATGAAGGGGAGGAGGAGGAGGAGGAGGAGGAGGAGGAGGAGGAGGTGGGAGAAGAGGAGGAAGGAGGAAGAGGCAGTGGACAAGGAGGAGGAGGAGGAGGACGAGGAGGAGGAGGAGGAGGAAGAGGAGGAGGAGGAGGAGGAGAAGGAGAATCTTGGCGAGCCCAGGCCCGTCTTTGAGCGTTTTGGGTGCCTCGGGCATCCTCTTGAGGCTTCTTGGGGGTCGCTTGGCAGCTTCTCGGAGGCTTCCTGGACGCTTCTCGGGGCCGTCTGGGCGCCCCTTGGGGCCCTCTTGGGGCGCTCATGGGAGCTTCAGGGGCGCTCTTGGTGCCATATTGGAGGAAATTGATCAAACAGAGGGGAGCTCCAATCAGCCTCCCCCCTCGGAAGCACCGAACATCGCCTTCTGGACCCCTCTTGGGGCCGTCTTGGGGCTCTCTTGTGTCTCTCTTGGGGCCCTCTTGGGCCATCTTGGAGCCATCTTGAGGCCTCGGATGGCCATCGGAAGCGAAAAGGCGAGAACGTAACACACATTGATGTTCCTTAGGTTTTGGAAGGGCGTTGGCTTCTTGGAGGCATCCTTGGAGGTCTCGGGGACGTCTTGGAGCCGTTTTGGAGCGTTCCTGGGGCCTCTTGGAGCATCTTGGAACCGGCTTGAGGCATCTTGTGTCATTGGAGCCATCGTGGAGGTCATCTTGCGCTCTCTGAGGCCCTCTCGGAGCCATATTGGGCGAAACCGTACCTTCTGGCACCTCTCGGGACGCCCCGTCCAGGTCCAGGGGAGGGGGTGGGGGGAGTGGTAAACCTCTCCCCGAAGGGGGAGGCGGGGGTTGGAATAGGAAACTCCCTAGACCACCTACACCCAGAGGGCTGGTGGGATTCTAGACACTTCCCATAACCCACCAGCCCATCCAGAAACGATGCCCAATCGAGTTACCTTGATCAGGGATGCGGAGTAGAATGCAGTGGAATATAGGGTTGGGTAAGATGTCGTACTCCAGAAGGTGGAGGATGGAGGAGGAATCGGAGGAGGAGCAACCCGATGAGATGAGGAGGAGGAGGAGGAGGAGGAGGAGGAGGAGGAGGAGGGAGGAAGAGGAGGAGGAGGAGGAGGAGGAGAAAAAGGAGGAGGAGGAAGATGAAGAGGATGAGGAGGAGGAGGAGGAGAAGGAGGGAGAGGGGGATGGGGAGGATGGATGATGAAGGAGGAGGACCAGGCGGATGAGGAGGAGCAGGGAGGAGGAAGAGGAGGATGAGGAGGAGGAGGGGAGGAGGAGAAGGGCGAGCAGGAAGGCTAGAAGCGTCTTGGATGCCCCTCGGAGTCTCCTCGGATAGTTCGAAAGTGTTGGAGTCCTCTTGGGGCGTTTTGGGGTTCTCTTGACAGTCCTGGAGGCCTCTTGGGGCGTCTTGGGTGCCTCTTGGGGTCTTCTTGGAGCCTCTTGGGAGCCTCTTGGGACATCGTGGGGCCCTCTTGGGGGTCTCTTTGGGCTTCATGGGCACCGCTTGGGGCCGTCTTGGGGCACCCTTGGGAGCTTCAGGGGCCACCATCTTAGGGCTACCCTGGGAGAGATCGATCAGAGGAGGGGGGCTCCTTAATCAGTCCCCTCTTCCCCAGAAGGCTAAAATGTTGTTCTCGCCAAGGCCTCATGGGGCGTCTTGGTTGCATCTGGGTGGCCACTTGCTGCCTCTTGGGGATCTCTTGGGGATCTCTTGGGGGCCTCGTTTGGGGGCCTCTTTGTGCCTCCTGGGCACCTCTTGGGGCTGTCTTGGGGCACCCTTGGGAACCTCGGGGGCCATCTTGGGGCCATCTGGGAGGACTCTTGGGACCCCTTTGAAGGCACCCTGGGGGCCTCTTGGGGGGCTCCTGGGGCCTCCTGGGCACTTCTTGGGGCCACCTTGGGACACCCTTGGGGGCCTTGGGGGCCATCTTTGGCCCATCTAGGAGGGGGATCCCCCATCAGGCGCCCCTGCCCCCCCTCCCCGCCGGGGCGGTGGCGTTTGGGAGGGGGGGGTTCTCCGATCCCGTTTTCGAGCCAGCCTCAGGCCCAAGAGCGCCCCTGTCAGGACGCGCCGCCTCCGCCGCCTGGCCGCCACCGACCATGGCCACTCTTGTTCATGTCCGGCCAGGACTTCAATTAACACAATGGGGTCCCCCTGGCGCTCGGTACAGATTCACACCCTGCCGGGAATTGAATTGTGCGTTCTCGGCCATCAGTTGTTGCGTTCCGCTTTCCGCTTTCCCCTTCCCTGGAGGTGAATCCAGCAGTGGGGACGGACAATTCCCTCCCCCTCCCCTTTCCTTCCTTCCCCGAGTGCGCAAGGCATACTATGGTTCGGAGTCGAAGCTGTGTGTGCACTTTGGGGTCCTTTTTTCAGGACTCCCGCCTCAGGACCATCAGCAGGAGCCACCTCGCCGAGAAGCGCGCGCGCGTCCCCTCCCTCTGGCCCCCCACTTGGGTGAGGACCGTCTTTAGGCCTCACACGTGAGGACCGTCAGTAGGCCTCACACCTCGCGCAGTTTCCATCACAGGGGCTGCGTGGGTCCCCCCCGCACCTTTACACGAAGGCGTCAATAGCCACCGGAGGGGGCCGAGTACTCCTCTAGGGACCCTCGGCCAACGAAGACGTCCCTAGAGGAGGGTCCAACGTACCTCCGCACCTTTACGAAGTCCAATGATGGCGTCAATTGCCACCCGCGCTGTTGCCCTCCTCCCAGGAGGGCATAATTGTCCGAACCCTGACTAATCAATGATTTTGGTTTCCGCGCCGAGGCGAACAAGTACGCTCCAACGTCTCGCGAACCCTCCCCCTCCAAACACAGGGGTAGGGGGTGCGGCCGAGAGTTGAAGGCACCCTCCCCGCCGGCAAGCCGTCTCGCTCACCCCCGCCCGCCATCCCAACACATAAGCAGCACCCGAGCCGCAGCATGGTCAGTAGTCGTCTTTGGGTGGGCAGCTAACGGGAATCAACACAGACCCCATATGCGCAACGTTGGGGCGAGGTGCGCCACGCGTGCCAGGCGCGCCAGGTGCGCCAGGCACCCCTGTGGCCCAAGCGTGCCCAGCACGCCTGGTGCGCCAGATGCGCCACGTAATCCACGTGCGCCATACGTGCCGCATGCTCCAGCCGCGCCATGTGCGCCACGTTCGGGGCGCGCGCAAAGCGTGCCAGGTGCGCCTGCGCACGTGGCAGTACACATCGGGAAACGCGTCGGCCCCCGCCACCCTTTGTCGAAAACCAGTGCGCAATCGCGGCGGCGTGGCCATCATAGTGCCTGGTGGGCCCGCACAGCAGGCAATATGCCAGCACCTCCGCAGTCCAAGCCAAAAACCCATGCACAGTGATCGCCGGGTGCCCGCGCACGATCCAGATGTTTATGGCGTACCGCCTAACAGGGATACGGTCCTTGCGCGCAGCAGGCAATATGCGGGCACCCCCGCCGTCTCTGCAACAAACATTTCGAAGTGCTCGCGCCCCTCTCATCCTGACCAAAGAGTTTGCCCCGCAGTGGATGTCGCATTGTTTTTGGCAAGGATGGTGTGGGGGGTCAGCATTGGTCCTGGTCGGCTGCAGTCGGCTCGGGGAGGGGGTGGTTATACATTGGGAACAGTTATAAATCTTTCCCCGAAAGGGGAACACGGGCGGTTGGAAGAGGAAACGCTCTACACTACCCACGCCCAGAGGGCTGGCGGGATTCCAGGCCAAGCGTGTGCGAGACGGTCAACGAGTGGCAAGAACCCTTTCGCTTGGCCGCAGACGGCCCATTCCTCCCCGCTTGTTCTAAGTACTCCGATGCATGGGGAGACGTGCTCTGGCGCGAAGCATTGTAGATCGCTCAGCACCGAAAAGGTAACTTCGCATCTGCACCTTCAGCTCGCAACTTGTCCTCCGCCAGACGACGCCGCCCCCTACCATTTGACACTGGTAGACCTAGTCTGTGTCACTCTCTTTCTCTGTTGTTGGTGTTGTTGTTGTTGTTGTTGGCGTTGTTGTTGTTGTTGGTGTTGGTGTTGGTGTTGGTGTTGTTGTTGTTGTTGTTGTTGTTGTTGTTGGTGTTGGTGTTGTTGTGGTTGTCGTCGTCGTCGTCGTCGTCGTTGTTGTTGTTGTTGCTGTTGTTGTTGTTGTTGTTGTTGTTGTTGCTGTTGTTGTTGTTGTTGTTGTTGTTGTTGTTGTTGTTGTTGTTGTTGTTGTTGTTGTTGTTGTTGTTGTTGTTGTTGTTGTTGTTGTTGTTGTTGTTGTTGTTGTTGTTGTTGATTTGTCATTTCTGAAAAATAATTATTGCGAAGGCCTGACGGCCGATGCCGCCGACCCTGTTCGCAATGCGCAGCAAGAGGCACGGGCTGTGGGATGGTTTGGGGGAACGGGGAGAAGGACGAGAAGGTGGGGGAGGGAGGTGTCGTATCTGACCCGGGACTTCCCCGGGACTCCCCCGGGACCCCCCCCGGGACCTCCTCTCCCCCCCCCGTCGGGGAAGGGAAAGGGAAGGGGCTTCCCTTCGACTCAATGACGACGTTGCTCAAGGTCGGTACGGGGGGGGGGCGTCGTATCTGACTCGGGGGGGGGGTCGCTACCCCCCCCGCTACCCCCCCCCCCCTCCCGGCGGGGGAGGAATGAAAGGGAAGGGGCTTCCCTTCGACTCAATTACGAGGTTGCTCAAGGTCGGCTTG